TATTGCGAAGTGTGTTCTTCATCTTGCTTGACATTATGTTTGTACAAAACCTGCTAAGGTGTGACATTAAAATTTGACATAATTTAGTTTATTGTTTGGCATTAAGAAAATTATGTGTAATAAATAATGTTATTACAAACTACAATGAATGTTCTATTATATTATAAAACAAGAACACACACACACCAAATTTACTATCACAAACAATCGAATCCAGCAACAATTTTTTGAATAGCATGATGCCCGAATATTAATAAGAGTCACTGTATGTTTCTCATACTTTATACGTTCTATACTGAAAGTTAGATTATATTATACATGAGTTACCCAAGTACTTTTAAATTAATTTGGACTTTATGTACACTTAGGATCGTAACGAGTGCGAACCTAAGCATAATAAATATATAATAATAGTAACAATAATATTAATAATATTCTTGCTTTTAGTATGTAGTGCTCACTAGCAATTATTCAAAATGATATTGCTTTTAGGCACATTTTACAGTACATGCATATAAAATTGCTTAAAAACAATGGCACTGAATAGTAATAATACTTAATAATAATAATTAATAAGCGAATTTTCTTAAACTTAATATATGCTATTTTCTAGGATATCCTAATACTTACTTGCAATTTCGTAACAATGTTTCGTTAATGTCTATACGTATCATTCTCTCTACTCATAGAAAAATATTATATTGATCTGAACCTGTATTCTTCGAGAACGGCATTTCGCTCTCTGCTGCAGTTCGTCACTTCGATTTCCTCCTTGATCAACGTCTCCTGCGTGTTGTTTCTTAGCTTGATAGCTTCTTCCTTCACTGCCTGCGCATAAAAGTACGTTCACGTCGTTTTGGTACGTCGGCGGCACCGATAGGTAAAGTCCAGCGATCAACTTCATGGCTTGCCTGCAGACGCTTCACTTCGTTTTCTTGCTCCCTTATCTCGTCTTCAAGGCTTTTCAACGACGAAGCATAGGACACGGACTTTTCTTTCAAACCGGAACGCATTGCTCGATATTTCATTCGCGTCAGGTTCGCCTTTATTTGCTTCATTCGGATGTGCTCCAAGTGCACCTCTAGCTTGACGATTTTCTATAAAAGTACGGAGAAGCTTGAGTAGCCGTAACCCCATGCGGCAACTTCCTTCCCGCTGTTCAACTCACGTTTCTCAACGGGTTATCCATCTTTCTTTTGAACAGTTTTTGCATTTTATCGTTCACTAATTGGTCATATTCCTCCACCAGCGATCTTAATTTTTGCTGTCGCTAAGGGATATTCGTGTTGAGATATATATGCGATGTTACATAGTTGCGTGAAATCTTCATCGCGAGATTAATATCTAGCCGGCTTACCTTCTCGCACTGATACTTAATTAGATCGTGCCTCTTTCTTAAGCGTACATTGTCCTCCTGCGCTTTAGCAATTGTCTCGCTTAAATTACGTTTTTTCCCATAGGCCGAGGACTCGCGGCTCATGTGAACCTTCTTCTGCGATTTTCCCTCGTTCTGAAACGTACCGCGTTAATTTTTGTTTCTCGCCGGTTACGAATTTTCGAGTTTCGAGCGCCCGTAGTTACGTTTATCGTTTTCGCGTACTCCGCGTACAACACTTTGACGCTCTGCTTGAGGGCAGCGATTTTCTCCGCGTGTTCATGCTTCTTCGCCTCGTACTCCTCGAAATTCGCTTTCCTTTGTCCCTCTGTGAAGAAAAGGATGATCATAACGCGATTAGTTCCAAGCATGTCGGAATTCCTGAGCCGCGATAAAATCTGTATTTCCACAGGGAATATTTCTGAATCAAATTTCCTTACTTAGCTTATAGTACGGTGGTTACCGAACCATAAAAAAATTCTATGAACTTGAAGCAAAAGTGTTAAAATGTCATTTTCAATTAAATTTCGCATCCTTGTTAGATATAAGAACTAATTTTTGAAGCGAACGATACTCGATTATGCTCGATCATTGCAAAAATAATTGAAGAAGTTGAAATTTTTATGCGGTCTAGTTTATAATTATCTTTATTATCTCTATAATTATCAACTTTATACAAGACATTTATACAATATTTGTTTGGCTAAAATATAGTGTATCGCTTTATTACAAATTTCATAAACGTTATTATAATCTGCAGACACTCTCTTGCGTATCATTAAATCGAATACAACAACCGTTAAGCTGTTAATAAAGAATATATTTAACATTTTAGCAATATTTCTATTCCGAAAGAAAATTCTATTTATTAAACAACTAATTTGTTAAATTATTAAATTCTTATACAGAGCGGTTGGCTCTGTCTAACCCCTGAATGATACGATAAGGCTATGAAATATGAAAAAATGTTTTCCGTAATAATAGACCGAAGTATAAAACAAATACAAGTCGTGACTATAGTCTTGATCGCGATGGTTCGATCCTTATAGCCGTGATCACCGTATTTTGCATGAACACCATGAAAAAACTGAATTACCTAGATTACTTAAATTGATGTCACGATTTTCCTTAAAAGACTTGGACGCTTAAGGAAGTTTACTAATGCCAGGTTGCTGGTTGTCCTTTTAGGTGACTTCAAGAATGAGGACAGAGTCAGATAGTCGCGATGTCTCCTTACCGATCAATTTGTCTTTCGCATTTACTTAACAGCATTTGAATCGTGATGCATTCTATTAGAACATGTGACTGTCGGTCTAACATTACTCAAAGCCGACGATTCTATAATAGTTCGTAATTTCAATTAACGAAACACTTGTAAATTACAAGTTGCAGCGCGCGAAGAATGATTCATAAACGATCTAGTTTATTTGTCTACACGCATATTAGCGGAGCCCACTGCATTACCGCTTCTAGTTTGTAAATCAAGTGTACACGTAGACGAGAATATATGCGAAATCATTCTCAAATGGGAAGCATTCCGTCTTCGCTGGAGACCGTAACCTAAGACTTGTAACTCGGCCAGTTCGTGGTCTAAAATAAAAGTGCTTATTGGAATATCCGTTTCATTATTTACGCTTTGATAGCAACATATCGATAAACCAGTGGAAATTTTCGTTTTTTCCCGAGGTAGCCACTTATGCGACACGGACATTTCTTTCTGGACTCTAGTCTTTCCGGTTAAACGTGTTCTTATATATCTTCGCGTGTAATCAGGAACTGGCTTGGAAAATAAATGTCGGTGAATTTTCTTCCTTTTTTCCGGGTAATCTCTTCGCGCAACGGCGAAGCAAACGTATGAATATTAAACTATGATTAAGAAAACTGATTACAGCTTTATTACTTTCGGTAGTGCGAGACTTTACCTGATAGCTGGATCTTCTTCTTGATTTCCGCAATTTTCTTGTTTAAATCATTCAACTTGTTCTCGGCGCTTGCTGTTAAGCGATCGGACATATTGTCCCAAATGTGTTCTAAGATCCACGTGGTGCTTATCGACTTAATAGCGCGTTGCCCTAGCGACGAAATCGCACGATACAATAGTTGATCTTTGTGTCAAAAACACAATTATACGAATTGTTGTGATACAAATTTGAATTGCATCTGATATTTTCATAATCAAAACTTTGCACGAATGCATTTTTCTATGTTATGAAGCAGTTAAATTTTTAACTATTTTATAATTTCGGTAAAATGATTATAAATAGATCCTTAAATTACATAAAAATATTGAACAAAATTTAACAGTAATATAAATTTGTCGCTCATTTTTGATTTTATAAAATAATCTACAAAATTGCTCTCATTCGCAAATGTTGTGAAAATATATAAATATAATTAACACTAAATTTACGGAACCCGTCAAAATTTTAACTCATGATTATTCATATCGTAAAGATACATTTTTATTCAATTTATATGTTACTTACGGCAAATATTACAATAACACTTATTAACATGTTGACTGCCATGCCGGTTTTACAGAAATTGTCCGTGGCGCCACGATGAATTTTCATTTATGTAATATATCTAATATTGAAATATTACCTGCAATAGATAAGTTACAGTGTATAACCATGTTTGACATGTTAATTGCGACAAGGTTTGAATTGACGATGGTAATAACACAAAACTTTAGATATTGATATATATATCTATAGTTAGATATTCTATAATTAGATATAGTTAGATATTTTTTATATTTCTATAGTTAGTATGATATATAGTTAGGTATTTATATATATTTCTATCAATTTGGGCGCATCGGTCACCGGTGACCCCCGTGGCATTCAACGTGTTAAAAATCAGAATAAATGTCTTAATGTTACTTTTATAAACTAATATAAAACAACTGTTTTTTGTGCTTCGTAAATCTAGCGTTAATAATACAGCGCTTTAATTCCCATATCCTCTTCGTTTCTTTATACGTGTCTGCTTTTACCGAATAATTCTCGAAAATTGATCGCCGGCCAAGAAATCAATAATCCACATTTAGCGAACGAAAAAGAACATCGTTGTTCTCAGCTATGCAACATTTTGCGCGACAACGGCTCGCTCGCAGATGTTCGCGGTGCGATGATAGGGTTAATAGTTTCATTAATAAAAACTAACGACCGCCGCGTATTTACAGTTCCGTGCTTGTATATCCCGTGGCCGGGACACAAAAGGGAAAGCAATTCGTAAGGCTTCGTTCGTTGAATGGTCTTAAGGAGAGGGCACCGAATTATAATTCCGCATTTGTATTCGTTAGGGCAGTAGCCGCGCCTGGCGGCGGCCATGCCGACGATGAATTTCGCGTTACACGCAATCAACCGCTGGAAGGTTAATTAATGATCAGACATGCCCCGCCAGCGCTCGACGAAGTTCATACGCATCGGCGTCTTGGCACTTTATAACTGACCACGTTCGTTGCGTTCCGTTTGCCGGCTGAATTCTAGAGAACGACGGCGTTAGATTTCAATCCGGCGACGCACGGTGCTCGGAAATCCCCCAAACGTGGCGAAGATTCAAATAAATCGATCGTAGATTATAACATAACTTTAAAACAACTCGGGGTAAAAGCAACTGCAGTGCATGCTGTTTAAAAACATTTATTTTCTGTTATTTCTGTGTATAGTTCTTGTTTTTGAATGTTTTATTGGATAGATGATAAAGTAAGTGCTCTATTTTAAGTTAAAATTATTTATAATTAAGGTCCTTCAAGTCCCACTAAATTTTTGTTTTCCTGTTGAAAGTAGTATATAAACGTATAAACTTAAAAGTAAATAGTTATATAGTTATATAGTGGAACAAAGTTGCGTATTTTTGCGACCATAAAAAAGTGCGAAACTACAGTAGCTCCAGAAAGTTTTACAGAATTGAAACGCCTCTAAAAATGTTGGACATTTCATAGATTTGACAATTGAAGGTTGTGCTTTACAACGACACCTCAAAACCTGGCGTACGACTTGTTTTTAATCATTTTATGTCTTCCTTAGTCGATTAACTGTCACATTTACAGCAATTGGAATATTTTTGAATTTCACATAACGGATTATTTTTCTACTGTATTCTCTTCTTCGACAAAGTTAATTTAGTTCCTATGGATTATCTGATTCATTTTTATGAAAACGTATTCGAATGTGCGATAAAACTGATGCCCATCGAAATAATAAGATGATCAGAATAATACCGGCAATCAATATTCCTTAACTCTTTTATCGTCTGTATTTTCAGAGATACCGTTTCTTAATCGTATTACAGCTCATTGCAATAATAAATCATCGACGTAATAAAATGATCAAGATAATACCTATAATCAATATTCTATACTTCTTTTGTTTCTTCAGTATAAGTCAGTTTTTCACGCAAACATTATTGTCACAACCGATGCAAATCGTATATTCAGATTCAAAAGGCTTTTATTATTATTAATCATGTCCACATGAAAGTTATCTAACAACGTAACAATTCTTCAACTATAAATTATTCATGTAAATATTGCAAATAAGTAACACATTCAGACTATCAATTTGAGTGTAATACTCATATAGCATGTAATAGCGCTATTCGTTGAGTAAAAATATGAAATTGTCAACCTGAAAATTTTATTTGGTTTTGTTTTGACAACTCTCGGATAGATTAAGCGTCTATCATTAAATTTACTCGTTATGGAGATCCTGTTCATTAACATTAAATGCAAAGGTATTGCAAACTATCTCAATACTTTGTCATGTTACTTCAATTTCTAATAATTAAAAAAATTCCTCCATCATACAACGCGTACAACGCGGTCAATTCGTCGTACAAATTCGCATTATAGGAAATCGTGTCATAAAAATGGGAACAATTATTTCCTCGATATCTTTGTACCAAATGCGACTTCGAAATAACATCATACGAATAGCAGCTGGGAATTTCTTTTGAAGAAGAAGGCTCGGTTTCCCCTAGAACACGAATGCGTTCTGCGACGCGGTCCTCTTATAGCACCGCTCCGATTGGTTCACATGGTCAGCCATCCCTTGGCTGCGCAGTGATACAACGTCGGTGGGTAGGTGCGCGCGCAACGGGGAACTACTTTCAGCGCGTTAAGCGAACAATAGGGATCCCAGAAGTGTTTCGGACGCGGTCGTGTTCGTATACGGTTGCCGCATGTTTTTTTCTGGTTCTGTCTCGCGTGTACGTGTCTACAGATTAGCTGGACGTATCGGAGGTAACATAGATCTCGGACGATGTGCGTGGTCAAGTGACGGTACGCGGATTTAATACTGAAGTGTACTACTAAGTGTTGGTTTCTCTCTAGTGTGTGCGCCCGGGCCTCGATGAGTGTGTGTCTGCTCGATGTGTGTGGATAAAATTCACGGCATCATGTTGTTGCCACGCCGAAAATTGGATTACGCATCGATGGCGTTTCTCTCCGTGCCACTGCTGTTGCTAGTTTCCTTGCCCGCGGTATCCGGTAAGTTTTCCAAGCGACAGTTTACACCGTTACGGTTGCACGTTCTCTTCTCGGCTTCGTTTGAAGTCGTCGTTCGCCACATGCCGCTGCTAGGCAACAGGTCACGAAACAACGCCGAGCGCCGGCGCGTTGGACGCCTCGCCGCGTTAACTGACGTTCCGCGTCTCCTTTTGAATATTTTCTCCGTGAAATGTCGCTCGAGCTATTCGAGGTCAACGCGTCCGAAGATTATTGAACGATTTCGGCCCGTGCAATTGGTATTCCACACGGCTGATTTTCGGCATCGGCGTGCTGCTCGCTTTCGATTACTACCTGTTTCGAAAATATTGACCGTTTCGACGCCAGTCTCTTCCTGCACGACGAACCGAGTTTTGTCCTTACTCGAAAATTTTAGAACGATCGCTTCGCTTTTAGCCCGAGTTGTACTCCGCTAAACGGACGCAGGAGCTTCCACGTTTCGACGGTAGGGCTACATTGTTACTGACGTTCAGCTGTAAAATTGTGATTCGGCGAAATTTGGTAAGACGGTTTAACGGTGTCTAGGACCGACGACGATGGTTCTTCTGGCGTTTATTGCTATTGTGTTCGTGACGGTCCCATGCTAGCCTCGACACACGTGGTTATGTTACTGTCACAGTGGTGCTCAATTTCGATACGCGCTCCGAGGTTGGCAGTCCCTGAAGGACAGGTGCCCAACCCTGCTTTCCAGGAAACGAGCCTTTCTTCCCTCGTGTGCACGTAAACATTCGAACCCAGCATTTCGCGTTCCCGTTTCCTCTCCCGACATTGTTCACAAATAACAGCATATATATGCTTTTCCTTCACCGGATAGACATTCTTTTATCCTCAGATCATTTTTACTTGCCCGGTTCAAAATAGCAACGCACTTTAGTCTCTCGTCGGCGGTTTTCTGTTTTTACAAACATTGGTCAACCTCTCTTGTAGGCAAAAATATTTTTATAAATTAGTATAATGAATTATACTTAATTACGCTCAAATTGGAGAAGTTTTATTTTACTTTTCCTCTCAAATTCAAATAATACAACAGTAAGTTTTTAAGTAAACGTAGATTTTTATCATATATTTCAAGTAATTTGTATAAAATATTGGAGAGAGAGAGAGAGAGAATTCGGTTACTTGTTAGAAAACTAGAAATAATTATGAAAGCTTGTGCATGGTAACTTGTTGTTTTAGAAAATAACACTGTACAGTATTTTATAACCTCGTGTACGCTTTCGATCGTGAATTTTCATTTTCACTTTTCCACAACGTATAAATCTACGGTGGATCGTGATGTAACGCTGGTTCAGACCAATGAGTACTTAGGCGGGAAGAACGTGCAGCCAGCACAAAGCAGTTCGCCGAAGAAAGTCACAAAACTGGGTAGCAGTGACGTATAGGCAAAAGTGAGCTACATTCTACTATTCATACTATTGCGCAATAAATATAAAATATTTATTGACCAAAATTGATTTAAAAAAATATTTCTCAAATTTTGCAAGATTTCTACATTATTGGTTTTTTTCGTAAACGCTAGAGAAAGTACATACTTGTTCGAATTTTGCACTGGTTTAGAAAATATGAGAAATTTGTGGATTTAAATGTGGTTCGCTTAAATAACAGAGAGAAATATTTCAATAACGTTTCAGCTTAAAAGGTGTAACACAAATATAAAGAAATTCGCATAAATTATGTAAAGGGCAATAATCTTTCATAATCTAGAAACTGCACTATTGAACATATTTGTAGACATTAATTACTAGACTGCGGATCTTTCCGCACTTATGAGAAAGCCGATAATTTGAAATATAAAGTAGTAAAAATATCAGAAAAATATATGAACATTGCTAAATTATTTTCAAACGACTAAATATTGAGTGGAAACGATACTGTACTATTCACTCCTGTAATTAATGAAGATGATTTTTATTTTACATAAAGATCCGTTGTTTAATTGTAACTCTTTTATTATATCTTCTAATAATAACTGAAACAATCATTGTAATCTTAAACGTGTTACATTTTCAATAAAAGTGTTACGTTAGTTTTGAGGAAGAAAATCGCAAATAATATTTTGTTTTCATCCAGGAGCGTTAATAAAATATTGTTAATTAATTAATTGTTGGGTCCACAATCGAAGTGAAATAAAATTGTTAATTATTTTCTGGTTTACGGTGTAGCAACTCAAAATAGAGAAAAAACTAGTTAATGGCTGATATGTTCCGGAATGTTCTCCGATTGAAGCGGGCTGACAGTCGCTTCCGAGAGCAGATCGAGGTCCTCGCCTTCGAGTCTGTTACTTTGCGTTGAGATACTCTGAATGCGGCATGGCGGCAGTTCTCCAGACGCTCGCTGTTCTTACGTTCTCAGGCTTTCTCTTCTCTCTCTCCTTAGGAAACGATTCGCCCGGACTTAACGTGCTTTCACACAAAATTACGCGTCTCTTGCGCGCCGATACACGTATCGTATTCATTTTCGCTAACACAGACCGCAACTTTGACCGAGGAATTGTTCAAATTGCGAAATTAATTTGCGAACCGTCAAATTGTTTCTGTCAAAAGCGATAAAAATTCTACGGACCGTTCCACAATGAAATGATTCGATTACGAAAATGGGAAGCTAAATTGAATTTATAAAAATAACGATTTCGTAATTTAAAAATTGTTTATTCGACAATTCGTTTAATTATTCTCAGAATTTAAACATTTCATTTGACGCACTAGACACTCGATAAATGAACCTTAATAAGCAGATTGTAGATTTCTATGCAAAATAAAAACTGACGACACTAATTGGAAGATACAAGAGCTATATAGATGTTGAGTTAAGTAGAAACTCTCTTATCTGAAGGTTTATTTTTGTAATGTCTTGATACCAAAACATAATGTATCTAAATAATACAATGATTAGATAATAGACATCATTTACTTCAATTAGCTCTCAAACATTAAACTGTTGTAAGCTACGAACATACTCATTACAAGTAATCTACAACTAGTTTCTGCAACATCAAACGTTATTATGGAAATGTGCTTTCAACGTGATAAATGTTTCACTCATTTTACCAGTATCTTTTCTTTCGAAAATGCTTTGTCCAGAGACGATACGCATACGTGTAATATTTCCCACACTGTTGATTCAGCAATTGAAGTTTCTAGAAACGTGAAGTCGTTATCATATATTTCCAGAAGCGGTTTTGTCTTTTGAGATCGTCCGATTTGAAATTCTTAGTAACAATTACTTGCTCAGGAATTCCGTTGCTCTCTATCATTCTCGTCTCTAAAGACACTCGAAACTGGCATGACTTAGAATCCGATGTACGACCGACCTGCAACCGGTTCCTCGTTCCCTTTCATCGATTCAGGGGCCACACGAGCCTCCCGTGCATACGTGCATGCACGCCGGTGCAACTTGAGAAACGCGTGCTCGACGATACCAAAGTCTGCCGCTCGTCTCTCTCGCCGTTCACCTGGAGGGAACGCGTTCCCCCAATAAAGGTCACAATTCGACGATTACCGGATTTCGTTCAAAACCGAACGTTCGTCTCCCGTGAGCAAATTGCTTGCTTTCGGACAAAATCTCGCGACAGAATCGACAGCCGAACGTTGAACACAGTGCATTACGTCATTAAAAATAAGATACGTTTGAAATACCAATTTGATACGATCGATTTGAAATTGAGATTAATTCGTAGACATACACGTTTCGCAATCATTTTTACCTTTTGAAATGAAGTTTTAATTCATATGTGTATTTATTTTGCCCTAAACTCTCAATTCACTATCATCTTTTACATACTTAACTGGGCAAGAAATCAATTTCTAAAGCCATTTATATGCGATAGCTATTAAAATGCGTTCTGTATTTCAAAGTGATACAGAAACACTGAAATCGAGACTAATTACTTTTGAGATCAATTATTTCCATCTTTTAGGTGAAGACAATTCATCTGCGTTCATTTTACCCGAAACTTTGAGAAAACTATCGCTTTCTACGTACACAAATGAGAAAGAGCTCGAGTAAATGAAATTTATATTATTCTATGCGAATTGTAAGTAGATACGTGTTAAATTTAAAAATTGAATAAAGAACGGCCAATTTTGACCGGTGAAAGGGTTAATTTAATTTTCAAAAGGACAAATGAAAGAAAAGATGAATATGACTTACAAAGGCACAAATTTGGTTTACAAAAACATGAATGTGATCTGTAAAAGGATTAATTTGAAGCTTAGAACGAACCTAACGTCCAACAGGGGGGTTGAAAGAGTACAAGAGTCACTTGTAGTCCGGGGATAGATGGCTGCCAGTACATTTCCCTGTTCCCTGATCCTTCGGTTTTCGCCGTCAAGAGGCAGATTGAGGGAAGACTAGAGATAGTTGGTATCTCGCGGCATCTGGTAACTAAAAGGGCAAGATCTCCGTCCCCCCGTTGCGTATGCTGACCTGGCCTATGGGCCACGTGGACATTTGCATTCGTTTTAACCCTCCAGTCCCTTTTCATCCTGTTGTTGGTGCGTTGCGTAAAACCGCATAATTAAGGACCTCCGCTACCGTACGTATGTCCATCCGTTCCTTCTGTTCTTTCGTTTCCCTCCGCGAGTTACGTCGTCCCCGTCGTCCAGAGATCCCCGGTGCTTCTCAGTATCGCGCAAGGATCGAGGATTGTGCCGTCAGTCAACGGCGGGACAGCCGCGAGCCCTTATAAAGCACGAAAGGATCTATCCTGCGTGACAGCATGTAGATTCCGTGAAGCTCGCGCGGAAGAGAATCTTTTTTCCGACTCGGCCAACGGATAGAAAGAATTCTTCGAGAGCTCTCTCCGTCCGAGCTACTACCCTTCTAGCATCCAGTTAGACCTTAGAGGATGCCCACCGGCAAATAAATCGCGTCGGGGAAACATGTTTATTTAATAACTTCTGCGCAGCGCTTTTGTACTCGGATCTGCTTAAGCTGGCTTAGAACAGGGATTACAGAGGTTACTTTCTGAGTTCACGGCGGCT